TTTACCGAAGCACATGTTCGGCACTGATTGTTCACATCTCCCTTGCGGCACAATGACCGATTTGCCTTTGCTGACGTGAATGTCGAAGGCGTTATTGAATTGCGGATGGAGTTTGGCAGCAAAATGGTTGATTGGTGGCGATTCAGTTCGCATTCAGAGCAAGAGTTCGTATCGCACATAAACGTTGCCCCAGAAGAGCTTGAGCATTTGAAACAAAGATTTATTGTGTTAGGAATGGGCGCGATTACGATCTGCGATCACGAGCGTGAACTTTACAGCTTGGATGTGATGAGTTGCGAGATTCAAGCTGCGCTCCAGTTTCACATTGCCATCGATACAATGATTCCGTATGCGCAGCCCATTGGCGGAAAGACAAGAATTCATTTGATTGTGTTACTCATGCGATGGAGTGAACACCTACAGCGTCAGCGAAAGTTACTAGAAGATGGCATCAGGGAGCAACAAAGTTTATAACTCTTTGAGATGGACTTTGAGGAGTTCGACATATTCGGGCAAGAGCTCGTAGCGAGGTATTCGGCGGATTCTGAGAGCTGGAACAAATTTCGGAGTCAGGGACAGCAAATGGTCCGACGTGCGGCGGATCGGTTGGCTGTCAATGGAAAGGCCGAGCGAGATCCGAAGCGCAGAAACAGGGCGAACGTCCCAGACGAGTTCGGTCGTACTCCAGAATGTGGGACCTTGTACACAATAGACTTGCGCAAAGAGTTTGTGCCGCATGTAGCTTCGAAGTGCTTCCCAAATGCTGAAGACCCTACACGAGACCTCCAACGACTGCGTAGTTTAATGGTACACTTCGGTAAACCAAAATTTCTGCAATTGGCCACGGTAGACTTGCGCATGTATCTCGGAAGAGGTTGCCAGTTTGCCGTGACGGATTAGTTCAGGGTAGACTATTATTTGGTTGGATATGTTGCCATTTCTGGTTCAGAGTTTGGCCTTTGGCGGCACAGATTCAGATGTCTATTGATGCACACGTGTGAACAATCACCTGCACGTCTGCGCTCACCGCGGGCAGAGGCTCTTCGGGCTAAGTGAGGCCTCGGCACCCTACGCTCCAGAGGCGGGCATCCAATCCAGCTCAACCCATGGACAAACCGCCGGTATCGAACATAGCCTGGCGAAGGGTCCAATTTTGTGCAGCTGCCTGTAGCGCAGGGTGTGGCTCTCTCCTCATTGACTGCGCGCCGCGGGAGGGGGAGGTCGCGCGGAAGCGCGGACGATGGGCTCTTGGTGGGGCATTGTCCGCGTGCGGGGTGTGCCGAGGTGGTCGGGGGGGCGGCGCCATCAACCGGCGCCCATCAAGACCGAAGGTACAGTTCAAATGGGGGCACAGTCGGCACGTGCCGAATTGGTCGGCAGGACGCCATGTGTTTGCGCCCCCTGAGTCCGTGGGTGGAGCTCCCTGTGCGAGGGCGCGATCCTCGTGAGGGGTACGCCGAATTTTGCGCGGGAGTACCGTGCGGACGCCCCTACCGAGGCGTTAGGCGGAGCTCCTGTTACACGCACGACTCGCGCGAGGGGTGTCCCAGAATGGGCGCGGGGACGTCATGCAGACGCACCCATTGAGGCCGCAGATGGATCTCCCTACAGGGGCAGGAAGTGTGTGAGTGGTGTGCCGCAAGGGGCATGCGGAGAGCAGCGGCAGGGAGAGGAGGAAAGGGAGGAGGGGGAGAAGGAGGAGGAGGAGGAGGATCAGAGTAAACCCAAGATGTATCCATGATACTGCAGTACACCATCCCGTCCCAAGTCTTTTTACATGAAACCCTACAAGCCTTCGTTTCCCCTTCAAGAAGCACCCCCCTTTTGAAAGACCAGCACCCTTCTGGGCCCGCCATTGAGGCGAGAGCCGAGTTCTGAAAAGAAATTATTGGCGCTGTATCTCTCCAACGAGTAGTAAGGAATGCGCGAAGGCGTCATCATCCAGATCATTGAGGTGTCGAGCGAAATCCCCCTTTTGAAAAGGACCGCAAAGACCACATCCATCTGTGTAGTCATCGCACAAGTTTTCGCTGTTGGCCATGAGCCTCGAGGAAATCTCAAGCGAAAGCACCACTTTGAAAAGGACCCCCCCCCTTTTATCCGTGCAGCTGTACCCGCTGGACATGTAGGAAGTGTCAACCGAATGCCCAGTTTTGAAACGGAGCCGCCCTTTGCCCGTGCAGCTGCTGCATGTGTTCAAGTTCTTGGTTTCTGAATTTGCAACATCCCCAGCGAGAGCCCGAGTTTGAAAATACAAGCCCGCAACCCTGTAATTGTTCCAGGCTGTTACGGTTCATGCGCGCGGCGCTGAAGCGAGAGCACGATTTCGAAAACGAGCCGCCCTTCATCGTTGAAATTGGTTTGGACAGAAGCCGCCCTCCATCCTTGAACCTGTTGCAAATGTTCAACACGAATGCGCGCGGCGCCAAGGCGGTTCTTCCATTTTGAAAACGGCCCGCTCCATCCTTGAAGTTGTTGCAAAGTTGCAGTCCCCGCCCGTCTTAGAAGACGCTGCACGTCTCCCAGACGAAGACGCGCGACGCGAAGGCAAGAGACGAATGTTGAAAACCACCCCGCTCCATCTCTGAAGCACCACGCCCCCCATCTGCGATCAGCACTGTTCTCAGGTGAAACGCCTGGCCCGCCCTGCCGGCACGCTTGGGAATGCGACGGGCAGGTGTTCTTCATAAGGAACAAGGATGGAGGAGGGGGAGGAGGAGGAGGAGGAGGACGACGAGGAGGAGGAAGAGGAGGAAGAAGAGGAAGAGGAAGAGGAGGAGGAGGAGGAGGAGCAGGAAGAGCAGCATGAGCGAAGGAGGGAACGGAAGGGAGGAGGAGGAGGAGGAGGAAGAGGAGCAGGAGGAGGAGGGAGGAGGGAGAGGGTCCGTAGCAATTTTGGCTCAAGGCTAAACGTTGTGAAGGGCTATAGAGGCCCGAGGACGAGCGATTAGCTTTGGCCCATCCCCAGCCAGCTCTCGAGCGGCTTGGGGCAGCGGGCTTCGGAATCACTTCGTAAATTCCAGCCCCCACAGCGAGCGGGTGTCCGACAGGTTTTCTCTTCTTGCCCAGGACGTCGCAATGGCGGGCAAAGGTTTTGTCGCGTCTGCTTTTGGCGCTGTTGTTCCTCATCCTGTGGCACCCCAACGCTAGGCTGCCCGCGGACATCCTGACGAAGACACGGAGCACCCCACTTTCCCTGAGCCTGAGCACCCCTTCCATCAGATGCGACAGTATGTGGACAGCACGCGCGGCGACCTGCTCAGAGCGATTGTCGGGTTCAAAGATTTTCTTGAAGGCCCCGGCACCACAGTGCAGACAGGATTCAATCAGCTCGGGACGCAACTGGAACGCAGGCTCGGCAGTGTTGAACGCAGACAGAACAAGTTGGAGGAGCACGTCAAGGGGCTCGAGGACAAGATTTCCCGCCTGGAAGCGACTCTGGGCATCATGGCCAATGAGAAACCGAAGCTCGAGATTGACTCGGGCTTCCATCGTGAGCCCAACCCTACCATCATCGCGGCGCGGTGCAAGGCCATGCTTCAGAAGGAGGCGGCGGCAAACGCAGCCGAAGAGTGGACGAATGACGCCAACGCCGACGGTAAGTTCCATTTCGATTTTCGATTTACAGGTGCGGCTTCTCTGGAAGCGAGGAGAGTTTCACAAGCTATCTCTGCGCACAAGATGGGCCCGAACAAGTGGAGGCGACTCACAGCGGAAGACGCTGATGGAGGCCAGCAGGAGCTGCACATCGGCACCGACAAATCCCCAGCCAAAATTCGGATGGATATCACCCTCAAGGCCGACAAAACGCTGCATGATGGCGCACTACGACTCGAAGATGGAGCTGTTCATCAACAAATCGAGGGCGGAGATCTCATACCAGGGGAAGACGCTGGTGCGCATTTCAGTCTCGCAGGACGGTCCGGCGCAGGTGGAGTTTGCTACGGAGAACGCGGCGCACATCCGCATCGACAGAGCGAAGCTGGAGGAAGCAATCCAGCCCGCATTGCAGTCGAGGGAGGCAGCCAACACATCGTGGAGTCCTTAGTGCGGCGATGCGGGCATGAATTGGTGCGCCCACCTCTCGGCCACCGAGTCCAGCTTGCTCGGTTCCGCGGACGTCGGGCTCGGGTGCTGGTACTCGTCCTTCCTCCTCTTCCTCTTCCTCTCGTAAGGCCTCCGCGTCTCTGACGGCTTCGGGGCCGCACCCCCTCCTTTCCTCTGCCCATTACTCCAGGGTCGTGGAATGCAAGGGCGTTATGCCACCATGGATTCCAGACAAGCTCTCGGAAACTGAGATACCTCTCTGACTTGATATTCATGGGGTCGACTATCGGGGCCCAGGAAACCCACGGGTCGATTACCGAGCTAAACGATTACCTGTACCACCTGCACCGCCACGTCACAAAGCCGTTGCCTCGCTTCTGGACGCGTCTGACTCGCACCCCGCTGGAGGCGCGATTGCGTTCTACCCTGAGTTCGAGGCCCCGGGGCGCAAGAGGCCGCTTGTGGTGGAAGTTTCAGTTTGGGAGGCTGGCAGAGCTATTCGCATCAGGTTTTAGTTTGGGGGAATGTTTCGTTTGCGCGCTACAACATTCACAAGTTTGGCTTTCCGGCGGCTGTACGCGATGATATAATTTCTGCCCTCCTCTCTGATCAGCGCGATGCCGAGCGTTCCCCGGGGGAGTGCCCCTCGATCGCGCGCGGCGATTTCAACGTGGCGGCAGAGCCGCCAAAACCCTTGCTTGCCGGCGCCTGCTCAGGAGTGGACGACCAGGCCCAGGAGGTGAACAGGGGACAGCAGTGGAGGAGGGAGAGGAGCTCCGGTTGGGACCGCCTCTTTGAGAAGATGGCGGAGGTGGAGGGCGAGGAGGGCACCCACATTAACGCTGCACGTCGGACACTGGCGAGAATCGACCGCGCCTGCGCCAGCATGCCAGGCTGGGCCGCCGCGCAAGTCACCGTTTCTGGTCGGGCCCATGACGCTGCGCTGATTATCTGCATTTGATGTTCTGCATTTTCCTCGGAAAGAACTTGCCCCTGGGGATCGGCCCGTTCGCTTCGATTTTTGCCCGTCCTGAGCACGCGGAATATCTCGCGCGCCTGGCCCCCATGGCCGACTTCTCGGAGCTGCCAGCATTTGGGCGACTGGCTTTTGACGAATCACTGACGAAAGGGGCGGCGAGGCGAGCGAGAGACGCGATTGCTTTCCACAAACCATCGGGCCCCTTGGCGCTGTACACTGTGACCAGGTCCATGGCCCGTGCGATTTGGAAGCAAGATGTTCACTTGGTTGAGACTTCGGAGAGCTCACCCTCTCGCTCGCCGCTTCCTCCGCGCCCCCCCTGTTCCTCAGGCCGTGGACATCGCGGATCACGATGGCTTTCTCGCCCTCACCGATGGGCTCAACACCAAGTTGAGCCAGAGCGCACAGAGACGCATCCAGCGAGAGACGGGCGGATTCCCCCCCCGCGAAAGGGCGGGGTAAACTTCGACGCGAAATCAAAGGCTCGGAGAGAAGGAGTCGGTCATGGCCCCCGCTCGGTCGCCAACTGCGCCTTCAGAGGGCCCATCTGCCGGGCGGGGGGGCCGAGACGCGCCCTGAGAGATGCGCGAAACGGGCTCGCACTTCACCGGGGGCGAGGTTTTTCGGCAGAAGCCCATCGAGAAGGACGCTGCGCGCACGCATTTGGATCGGTTTGGGCTTAAACACGACTCGGCCAACATCGGGCCCCCCGACAAGGCCCAGATCGAGAATTCCCAGAGAAAGCTTCCCAGGGGCGCTCCAGGCCCAGACGGGCTTCCGCACGCCGCAGGGCCCATCGCCGCGCGGCGCAGGCGCATTTGCTGACACCCTGCGCTGGATTCTCTCGGGGCAAGGGATGCCATTTGATTTCAACGACGTTCGTGGCGCGCTTGTGGCAAAGGGCGAGGAACCAGAGGATTCCGATTCCTTGGCTTCCCGCGCCCCAAGCGACGCCAGACCCTCGGGTCGAAAAAGGCTGATTGCAGGATGTCCACGAATTTTGCTGCGCGGAGCCTCACCCTGGCCGCGCCCGCGGCAGTAGACCCCATCCATCGGGGCTTCGTGGCGAGGCGCAACGTCGGCCTCAACGTGATCGAGCTCAACGCAGCAGCGAGGGCTACGGGAATGAACGATGACGTGAGTAGTCGCTTCCCTCTCTTGCTTTCTTTTGATTATCCCCCGGCTTTTCCCTCTATCGCCCACGACTGGCTTGAACTTGTTCTCTCTTCTCTTTCGCTCCCGGAGCCCCTCTTGTTCCTGCTTCGTCCCATCTGCCCCCACGTCTGTTGTCACGGGTTCCTCGGGTCGCACGTTCAGGTCCGGTTTTGTTTGAAGCATCATGGTGTGGATGATACAAGGATGTTTTGCGTCGGGGGTTATCTGTCGTCTGGCCTCACACCCATTCATGGCCCATGTTCAGAAGCTGGTGATTGAACCGACTCGCGGGGGCGTGCGCGGACGACGTTGGGGCCGCGATTTATTCGATGCAATCCTTGCCCAAGCTGCATCGAGTATGAAAAGCTTCGGACAGAGTTGCGGGCTTGAAGCTCAAGCCCCGACAGCGCGCGATTGTGCCACTACCGGGGAAGTTTGACGTGGCCTTCGCGGATAGAGTTCGAGCGCGGTCATCCGCGGAGCTGCCCGAGTGGGAAGCTTTTGAGATTGCGAGCACACTTGTCTACCTCGGTCTTGCCAAGGGCCCTGGAGCGACCGATGACGCCGGGATTTGCGCCTCTGACCAAATATCAGCTCCGTACCAACATGGTTGCGGACGCCCGTGCGCCGACAGCGATGTCTGCACTCCTTCACTCACGCCGAGTTTGGACGACTCTCTCGCACGTAGGACAATTTCATCTCCTGTCTGAGAAGCAACAAGCTCTAGAACACGCCAATTGTACGACTGCCTACACCACGCCACGCTGCGCTTTAGATTTTGCTGATTCTCTCGCACTGCATACGTGGGGGGGCCCAAGATTCACGAGTGCCCGTGTCACGAATCTGGCTGCCCTCATCCGCTGTTCCTTGCAGACCTTCCCGGAGTGGGAAGAGATCGACGCTTCGCTTGAGAGCTCGGCATGGGAGCACCTCCCTCTGGTCAACGTGCTACGAGGGAAGCTGGAGCCCAGCTTTTGGCAGAATTAACGGGTTGTTGCCTTGCTACGTGACGCTGCGCGAGGCTTCCCTTCTCACCCGAAGTGGAAGAAGGCCGGTGCGTTGGCGGTTGCGGAAGCGCGGAGCGCTCTTCGCGAGGGGGATAAGAACCTCCAGAGGCGAGCTGCCTTGTCCTTACAACAGTCGTTGTTTCCTGACCCCTTAGAGCGGCTCCTCGTGGAGCGGTCGCAGACATGCGACCCTTCTGAACGCAGGATTATCCGTGACATCCCCTGGACTTCCGTGCAATCCACGGTTTTTTCACCATGTAGTTATTGGTCGAATGCCGTGCTCAAGACCTTGCGCGGAGGCTGGACCACTGCGTCCCGCTTCCACAATGCCGACCAGGAGAATTCAGATGACAGGTTTTGTTGCCTGGGTTGTCGGGTTCCGCCCTTGCTCTTACTGTTCGTCGCCCTCTGCCCTCCTGCCCCACTGCTCTTCTCGGTCTTGCCACCCCGTCCGCTCAGAATGTCACGTTCACAGTTGCTGCCGCACTCTTTCGTTACAGTCATGTCAGCCGATTGCCGCGAGGTTCCACAGGAGTCCCCCGCGAGGCCACTCGTGGCTGTCTTGCCACCAGCGCGAGCCGAGCTGTGGCGCAATCCCGCCCGGGCGTCGTGAAGCTGAACCCGCGCCCGCCTGGGCTACGCGCCAGGAGGAGGGAGAGGGAACGGGAGGGGGAGAGGAGACGCGCGGCGCAACGGAGAGAGAACGAGAACTTAACTACTGAGGAGCGAGGACATCTATGGAGGCGTCGTCCTCCTGCTCCTCTTTCTCTGCATCCTGGCCAGCGCCTGGCCGGCGCCCTTGCAGCCGTCCGCCGTGGCCGCCACACCCCGCCGCACCCGCGGGCCGCGAGGCGTTTTCGCCCAGTTTCGGGCCCCAGGACCCTCGCGGATCGATCCAGCTCGAGAAGTGCTGCAGAAAGCTGGAGTCGAGGGTTCGCGTGGCGAGTTGTTCACGATGCTGCAATGTGTTGGTGACGTCGGATCTTGGGGACCTCGACAAGGGGCGACGAGGGCGCCCTTAGGGGGCCCAAAAAGACCAAAGCTTGTTAGACCGTCGATCCTCGATCCCGGCTCCCCGATACCTCCGGTTGAGTCCCAGGCTGGGTTCCAGAGGCTTGCAGAGGCCCAAGAACGGCCAAGCACGTCCAAGAACATCGGTCGTCCTCGAAGGCTCCTCCTCGAACCTCGACGCAGGAGGCCTTGGGAGGAGAGCGAGCCGAGCCGATACCCCAGGCGCGGCGGCCCCCTCCGGTGCCCGACGGGCGGGTGATCGGTGATCGGCGGCGCTACCGCGGCGGCCGCGCCGGGCGGGGGCCGTCGCAGGAGCTGCTCACGGCCCGCGGGTGCGGCGTGGCGCTGGCGGCCACCGTGGACGGCTACGAGGGCACTGGCCAGGCGCGACGACTGCGTCGACGGCGACGACGGCGGCGGCGGCGGCCGCCGCGATGGCGGTGGCGGCGACGACGGCGCGGGTGGCCACCGTGGAAGGCTACGAGAGCACTGGCCAGGCGACGGTCAGCCGTCGGCGGCATTCGGACGCAGTCGGCGGCTTTCCAGTGCCTGCGGCGGTGTCCGTGGATGCGTAGGAGGGCATCGGCCAGGCGCCGGCCAGAGGAAAGAGGAGGAGGAGGAGGAAGAAGAGAAGGAGGAAGAGGATTAGGTGGGTGAGCAGGGGGGAGAGGACGAGGATCGATGATAAGTTGTGGAGTTCGCTTGGCCTCATGGCCGTCCGTTGACTGCCACCCTAAACCTCAGATCCACGGGCGGTTTGCAATAAAGTGAAATTCCTGACCATATGTCGAGGGCACAGCTCATGGCGCATGCAAGCGACAGGGAAGAGCAGGAGGAGGAGGAGGAGGAGGAGGAGGAGGAGGAGGAGGGATGCGCGCGCCTGGCCAATCAAGCACTGCGGAGAAACAGCCTGGCTCGGCCAACTGATGCTGGGCGGGCGCAACGCAAGCTGGCTCCTGACAGAACAAGAGGAGGAGGAGGAGGAGGAGGAGGAGGAGGAGGAGGAGGAGGAGGAGGAGGAGGAGGAAGAGGAAGAGGAAGAGGAAGCAAAAATGCGAAATGACACAGAAAACTGGAAGGGGGGGAGAAACGGCAGGGGCAGCAGCGAACAGGCAAGCGGCCAGCGCGCGGGGGCGGGCTGGGGGCACCCGGGGGTCGTCGGCGGCGGCTGTCGGATCGCTTAGCGCCAGCCAGGGCCCAGGAGGGGGGGGCGGGGCAAGGGGGAGGCGGGCTGGGAGCAACCGGGCGGCCGCCCACACGGTGTCTGCCGCGCGAGCCGCCGTCAAAGCGGCGTTTGCAGCGTCCAGGGTAGGAGCGGAGGAGGAGGAGGGGAGGAGGACAAGCTAGGTGCGCTCGCGTCATATCTGACATCCTACCCCTCCCTCCCATCCATTACCATGGCGCAGATCCCCTCTACTCGCACAGTCGGATGTCGAGCAGGGCAATGATCCCGAAAGGGTACGCGATGCATTGTAAAACACGGCATGGCATTGCGTAGAAGAGCACCGCGAAGCGTAGTATCAACCTAGCATTGCATTGCATGCCGTGGCATGGCACAGGAAATGACGCCAGCGCTGCAGCGGGAGCACGAGTCGAAACGAGCTGAAGCGCGGAAATGAGGCCAGCGCTGCAGCGGGAGCACGATTCGGAACGAGCGGAACCACGCCGGAATCGGCCAGGGAGGCTTCCCGGGCGCCAGAAGCAGAAATTCAGCATTTTCGCAAGAGAAATCTGTATTGGAATAGCCTTTTTTCGGCGCCTCCTCGGAACTCGATTTTCCGGCGCCGGCCGGAACCGGCTCCGGACCCGGCCCGGGCGCCGGCCCGGGCGCCGGCTCGGGCGTCCGGCCCGGGCGCCGGCTCGGGCGCCAGCCCGAGCGTCGGAATCGGCCCGGGAGGCCTCCCGGGCGCCGGAAGCAGAAATTCAACAATTTCAAAAGAAAAATGTATTAAAATGGTCTTTTTTCGGCGCCGCCTCAGAACTCGATTTTCCGGCGGCGGCCAGAACCGGCTCCGGACCCGGCCCGAGCGTCGGCCCGGGCGCTGGCTCGGGCGTGCAGCCCGGGCGCCGGCGGAAATGATGCCAGCGCTGCAGCGGGAGCACGATTCGGAACGAGCGGGCCCCGAAAATGAGGCCGACGCCTTAGCGAGAGCAGCATTTTGGAAAAAATGCACGCGAAAACCCAACTCCTGGGAAACCCGTGTGTAAAAAACAGTACGGGGGGGGGGGTCGAATATTTTCAAGCCGTCATCAGGGGAAGAGGGAGAGTAGTATTCATATTGAGTAATTGTGGAGGAGGAGGAGGAGGAGGAGGAGGAGGAGGAGGTGGAGGTGGAGGAGGAGGAGGAGGAACAGGAGGGGGAGGAGGAGCGAGAAGCGAGAGTCGCTGGGCGTGCTCCGCCGCCCCGGCGGAAGGTTCCTCCCCCCCGAGGCGTGCGCCGCGCGGTTCGCCAGGACGGCCAGGGAACGGCGCGCCTCCCTGCCCCGACCGCCGCCGTGCACCTCCGTCACCAATATGGGTAAAGGGCGAAAGCGTTCGCGCCGCATCTGCGCGAAGCGTCCAGACATGGGCGCCTCTGTTCCTCGTCGCGCTCGGAGGCGGCGCCGCGCGCGGCGGCCATGGCGGCCCGCAGATCGCCCCGCAGCCCAGGGGTGACTGGGAAGTCCTCGGGGCAGCCGGGACGCCGCTGCGCCACCAGGGGGCGTGCGCCTCCGAAGGGCGCCAGGCGTCCACGTCGAGACCAGCGCCGTATTCGTCCGTCCCGGGCGGGCCCTCTCCCTGCTGGCGGGGCTGCAGCCAGCCTGGTCGATCCAGCTCGGCGCGGGGGAAGCTTGCGGCCTGCGCGGTGAAGCAAGCATGGTCGCTCAGGGCGTTGTGTCGCTTCACGCGGTCGCCGCGGCAGTAGCGCACCAGCGCGTGGCCCCCGTGGACGTCAAGGACGCCGCCACCAGCGAGAGCAAAGGCCTTCTCGTCCGCCAGCTGCACCCGCAAGCGCCTCATGCCGAACGATGTGCATCAGGCTGCGCGGAAAGTCCGCGCCGACCTCAGCGCATGGCACGGCCTGCAGCCTTGGTGGCTAGGCAGGCGTGCTCCCAGGGTTCGTCTTTGGCGGCTATGTCCAGCTTGCTCAAGAGCCCCCGCCGGTCGCCGCGCTGGCTTTCGTCGAACGCTATCCTGTCCTTTTGCGGGAGCCGGCCGCGCCCGGAGCGCTTGCGGCGCCGGCGTCGTCGTCGGTTGCCAGCGGAGCGCCGAACTGGAAGCTCTGGCGGCCAAGTACAGTCAACCCGCATGGTAAGGATGGGCAACCTTCCCAAGGATACCCTTGCAGCCTTGCCTCCTCGGTCCATCCTTCGCCGCTTTCGCTGGCCGCGCCCCGCTCGAAAAGCTTCGACATGGGCGCCCAAGGCCCTTGCATCCTTATCGCGCATCCTTACTATACTGGTTGACTGTAGGCGGCGGGCGCGCGGCCTCTCGCTGAGTTGCTGAGCGCGCCTGCCTCAGGGGCGGGCTGCGCTTGAGTCCAGGAGTCGCCCGCGGGGGGGGAGCTGCTTCGCAGCTGCTCGAGGCTGGCCCGCACAGTGCCGACGAGCGCTGCCAGCGCTTCCGTTTGCACAGTGGGCGGGATGACCCGCGCCGAGCGATGTGGCTTGCAGAAGCCAGCGCAGTTTCGCAGCAGGTGGAGCGTGACTTGGGCGCCCTCCAGCGCGGCAAGTGATTCGAGCAGCTCGGTTTTGTTGTGACTCGCTGCTGGGCGTGCTCTCGGCAAGCGGCGTCGCTGCCGACTGGCGCGCTCAGGAGTTCGAACCAGCCGCCGCTGCGCGGGCAGAAGCCAAGGGGGAGCTGTTGCCGCCAGCAGGTGGCCACCCTCGCGCCTCCCCCCGTGCTCAGGCGGAGCCCCACAGCGCCCAGCTCCCCCACCAGCAGGTGGAGGAGGCACGCCACGGCGCTCCAGTCGCCAGCCGAGGTACTTTCGTCGAGGAAGAAGCAGAAGAAGAAGAAGAAGAGGAAGAAGAAGACGGTCAAGTCCAAGACGCCCTGGGCCGCGCGGAGGCCGGCTGGCGAAGGGCCCGCGCGGCAGCGCGCTGCAATGCCGAGGAGAAAAGCAGCGGTCCGAGGGGGTCCCCCTTGCTGCACCCCGCGTTCCGAGCGGATCGACCTGCGGGCCGAGCCTGAGCGGGGCCGGGCCCCATGTAGCGCCAGGAAGCCCAGGGCGCGCGGGTGGCCAGCCTCCTCTTGTTCCCTCTGTGGCTCCCCAGGCACCAGCGAGGCAGCCAGCCAAGACCTCCTCCTCCTCCTCCTCCTCCTCCTCCTCCTCCTCCTCCTCCTCCTCCTCCTCCTCCTCCTCCTCATCCTCCAGATCGAGGATCCGCGCTCTTGCGGCATCGGGCCGCTCCGAGGCCTTTTTGGAGCGCCGTGGCGCGGCCGTTCGAGCCTCCTCGGCCACCGTGCGGCCACCGCGGGCCGCCACTGAACGTAGCCACGCACGCGGGCCCTGGCCGGGAGGTCGAGGATCGAGGCTGTTGGGCGCTTCTGTGCCTCATTCAGGAGGGAAAGAAACACACAGACACAATGAATCGTCGATTTCCCAGAAAATATAGGAAAATATGGGAACGGGGGGGGAAGACAGAAACCCAGAAAATATGGAAAAATATCGGGGATCCGGTTATTTGTGTGTATTTTTTGTGTGTCCTTTGGCCCCTTGACTCATAGGACCTTCGGGGGCGCCCTCGCTGGGCCGTCGGAGGTTTTTGGGGGGGGCGTCTGTGAGCCACCGGGGACGGCCACGAGGGCACCAGCTGGCGCCGGCCAGCAGACGGATCGAGGACTCGACGGGCGGGCGAGGGGTCTTGGAGATGCACGAACGACATGGGTACGGAAAGAATGGGTACAATGCCCAACAGCAGTTCCTGTTCATTCTGAACAAGACTCGCTGTCCGCGCCGCCGCGGCGTGTGTCCATTTGAGACAGAAAGCCGCCTGCCCAACAGCGGCCGCTCTTGGTTTGGGGCAGCATCTGTTGTTGGGCATTGTGCCCGTTGTGTCCGCACCCGTTTCGGGCGTCCAGAGGGGCCCTGGGTGCTTCTCTTTGCTCTGTTCGGGTTCGTGTGGCCCCTCCTGGGCCCCAGGGCTGTCAAAGAGCGGCCCAGGATACAGCTTTGTGTGCTGGGGAGGGCCCCAGGTCGAGGATCCCAGTCCCAGACCTCCACGGGCCCAGCTGTGAAAAAAAGAACACAGCACGTCGGGAGCACGGGATCGATGCTGTCGGATCTGCCGAAGTCGAGGCTCTCGGACGAGCATCGAGGCGGAGGGGGATCGAGGCCAGGAGGCTACGAAGGCACCAGCCAGGCACGGGCTGGGAGGATCGAAGATCGAGGCCTTGGGATCCTTCGGGGCCTTTTCGTCGCCCTCGGGAGCGCGCTCCTCGCCGCGGTTGAGTCCGCCTCAGGATCTTGGCCACAACGCGGCGGGCCAGAGGGGCACCGGCCAGGCTTGGGTCAGGGCACGACCTCAGGCGCCCCTGTAGTTTTACGAATGCCGGCGGCTTCTCTCGGTTTCAAGTTCTGGGGGCCTGCCTCGGGCCCCTGGGAGCTTCAAAAACGATGTGGGAAGAAGCAAATGCCCCCGAAAGAGGTCGAGGGTCCTGGGGCCACGTCGCGAAAAAAAATCGCGACGTCGGAGGCGACGGAGGATCGAAGCTTTGGGGAGGCGTCTGAGCTTGTTTGGGCCTTCGGGAGCGCCCTCGTCGCCGCGGTCCGCGTCGCAGCTTTCCGCCACGCGCAGAGGGGGGTGGGGGGAGGGGGGAGGGCTTCTTAGAAGCACCCCATGCTTCTTAGAGGGCGCGGGCCTTATCTGTAGATGTAAGGCCGGCGCCTTCTGAGAAGCAGCCTGCTTCTCTCAGGAGGGAAAGAAACACACAGACACAATTAATCATCGATTCCCCAAAAAATATAGGAAAATATGTGAAGTGGGGGGGAAGACAGAAACCCAGAAAATATTGGAAAAGATTGGGAATATGTTTATTTGTGTGTATTTATTTGTGTGTCCTGGGGCCCCTTCACTTGTGCGCGCCGCCAGATCTTGGCCAGGCCGCATCCCTGAAGAGGTTCCGGGGAGTCGGCTTCGAGGGAGCACCTGGTCAGACCTCCATTTAGGAGGGGAAGAAACACACAGACACAATGAATCGTCGATCCCCAGGAAGATATGCGAAAGTATTGGAAGTGGGGGGGAAGACAAAAACCCAGAAAATATGGGAAAATATCAGGGGAATATTTTTATTCGTGTGTATTTGTTTGTGTGTTCTGGGGCCCCTTTACTCCAGGTGCCAGGCAAGATTGTCGACGACGTTCCGCAGTGCCAAAACAGTTTTCAGCAGGTGCCAAAATCGGCGAGATCTCAACCACAGCCGCGATAGATGCGCTTGGCGCGCAGTGATGAACACACAGCCGCGACACATACGCTTCAGAATCGTTCAACGCATGATTTTTCAATACGACCCCTAAAAGTTACAAAATGTATTGGAACGCGTGTGTTAACTCACATGTTCTGATCAAGACGAATGCGCCGAACGGTATCATGTTGTCCTTGGGCGGTTTGTTAGTCGTGCTCGTCACGCGCGGAAGGGGCATGTCCATTTTGTGATAGTAGTGTTTCGAGGCGTCTCGATTTTTATTTCTAGACGCGTCAAGTTCCTTCTGGGACCCAGCGAGCGGCGGAGAGGAGGAGGGCGAGGAGGAAGAGCAGAGGGAGAACTGAGGGGAAGGAGCGAGGAGCTGTGAGAAGGTGGAAATCGACGAGGAAGCGAAGATGAGAAGGGTATGAAGAGAGCTGAGCAGGAGGAGGAGGGAGGAGGAATGAAGACCGAGGAGGAAGATGAGCCGCCCCGGCGCAGGTGGCCCATCTCGGACGCTCCACTTGGCATTGGGCGGATCAGCGTCTCCTCAATCCTCCTTCCTCCCTTCCTCATCCTCCTCATCATCATCATCCTCATCATCCTCTCCCTCGTCCTCTTCCATCCCTGTGCCTTACGAAGAACTCCGCCCCGTCGCACCCCCAGGCGTGCCGGTAGAGCGGCCCGGGAGTTTCGCCTGAGACTTCCTCACCATTTTCGAGCCTGCAGCTGGAAAACTTGGAACAGCTTCAAGGATGGACGGCGGGTGGTTTCCAAAATGTGGCTCTCGCGTGGGAGCCGTCCACAACCGTCCTCAAGTGTGCAACAGCTTCACAGATGGAGGGCGAGCCGTTTTCGAGAGTCGCTATCGCCTGCGCGCCGCGTACATGTGTCTCAAAAGTTTGCAACAGCGTCAAGGATGCAGGGCGGCTGCTTTTCAAAATATGGCCCTCGCAATAGCGCCGTGCACACTCGTCTTAATAGTTTACAAAAGCTTCAAGGCTTTGTATGGTTGAAGGCCTACGAACGGTGTTCTGGCACGATTTAGGATGATCAGGACGCAACAGTCGCATTGATTCGCGGTGTTGAAGTCCCATGAACGGCACTATGGGACGATTGAGTCAGGACGCAACATTCACGTTGATTCCCGGCGCTAAAAATTTGCAAATTCTGTTTTGGTGCGACCGACAATTATCAGCCGGCTGTCTTCCAATGCGGCAACTCCCGCAATCAAAACAAATCACTGTAGGGACTTGTTAAGAGAAGTTTTGGCGAGAGGGTTTTAATCAACATTGTTGATGCGCCTTGAATTTGCACTGGTCCTCATCCTCCTCCTCCTCCTCCTCCTCCTCCTCCTCCTCCTCCTCCTCCTCCTCCTCCTCCTCCTTTGGCTCGAGCTGTTTCTCCCGCTTTCCGCCGTTGCCATTTCCGGACGATGGCGGTGCATGCAGTGGAAGATAGGCTGCCACAGGCGATCTTCGGAGGAGCCGATCTCAGCGCTCGGCGGCGCCGCGGCGGGTTCTGGAGTCAGCGGACGCGGGCCTCGCAGCGGCGAGGCACGAGGTGGTTGCCCTCACGGAGCGACTTGCCAGCGCCTTGGAGACTGTGCGCGAGTTCGAGCAGGCGCCGGAGCCCGAGTCCGAGCTGGGTCGCATAATTATGCTCATCATTCCTTTCTTGGCTGCGAAGCCGCAGGGCAGGCCCATCCCTGGCACAGTCAGGGCCAGGCGCAACGCGGCCGAGCACGTGTCCGACACTCCCGCGGACGTCATCGCCCTAGCTAGCAACATGGAGCTCTACAGGCTGCAGCGGGGCGGCGGCAGCGGGAGGGGCGAGTGCGGCCGTCGCGGAGCTGGTGATCTTCGCGCCGATGCACCTCCTTTCGTTCCAGGGGCTGGACGGTGGGAACCGCTCCCACCGATCATCGCGTGCACGTGCGGGGCCACTGTCTTCTCGTCACTCGAGCTGCCTGGCCCGCGTTTCATGTTAACAAGGCGGCGTGGCCCGACCGCCGTTCCCGAGGGGAGGTTTGAGGGCTCGTCGGGCGGGGGCGAATTCCATTCCCCCGCCAACGTTACATCTCTGTCCGTGATGGAGTGGCGCTCCAGCAGTGGCTCGGCCAGAGGGCCCCTGCGGGGGATGACTGCCCAGGCGGCTGGCCGGCCGCGTGTCGCGGCCGCGGCGGCCACAGGCCGAGCTGCGGACGCCCGTGGGACGGTCGGCGGCGGCATGCTGGGAACCGGCGGCGACGACGGCTTCGACGTGGAGCTGGAGGCCGCCGACGGCGAGAGCGGCGGGGCGCAGCCTGGCGGCCCCCAGGCCGCTGCGGCCGCCCGCGCCCGCGACCTCGCCCAGCTCTTCGCTTCCCTCGTGGCGGAGATTAACAGCTGAGCACGCCATGGACGCCGCCTTCGACCTGGAGGCGGACGCCATGCTCCCAGGACGGCGTGGACAGAGGTTGGGGTTAAACACAGGCTCGGCCTACGCTAAGGGCGGGACCCTGAGTGGGCCCCGAGTCGCGCGAATTCGAATGCAAGACCTTTTCAAGTCGAGTCTAGCCTCCTCCTCCTCCTCCTCCTCCTCCTCCTCCTCCTCCTCCCTCTCCTCCTCCCTCTCCTCCTCCTCCCCCTCCTCCTCCTCCCTCCTCCCCTCCTCCTCCTCCTCCTCCTCCCTCCTCCTCCTCCTCCTCCTCCCCTCCTCCTCCTCTCCTCCTCCTCCTCCTCCTCCTCCTCCTCCTCCTCCCTCCTCCTCCTCCTCCTCCTCCTCCTCCTCCTCCTCCTACTCCTCCCCCCCCCTCCTCCTCCTCCTCCTCCTCCTCCTCCTCCTCCTCCTCCTCCTCCTCCTCCTCCTCCCTCCTCCTCCTCCTCCTCCTCCTCCTCCTCCTCCTCCTCCTCCTCCATCCCTCCTCCTCCCTCCTCCTCCCTCCTCCCTCCTCCTCCTCCTCCTCCTCCTCCTCCTCCTCCTCCTCCTCCTCCTCCTCCTCCTCCTCCTCCTCCTCCAGTTTTCTCCATGCCCCGCTCCTCCTGGAGACGACGCCGACGACGACGACGACGGCCGTCGACGCTCCTGCGCGGCCGCGGCCGAGGCCCTTCGCCGCAGCCTGGGCCGCCTCGCGGCGTTGGGCGCGCCGCTGCGGCAGGTGGCGCTCGAGGAGCCCGTGCGCTGGCCGGCCGGCGACGCGGTGGCTCCGCTGGCGGCCTTCGGCGACCGCCGCCGGGCGGCCTTTCGGCGGCCCCCGAAGGGTTTCGAGGGCTTGCGAAGGGCTGCAGCGGCCGAGCCGCGGCGGCGGCGCGACGACGACGACGACGACGACGACGACGACGGCGACGACGACGAAGACAACGACGACGACGACGACGACGACGACGACGACGACGACGACGACGACGACGACGACGACGACGACGACGACGGCGTCGACGACCAGCGAAGACGACAACCACGAACATGCCCACGCCCACGTCCACGTCCACGGTCACGGCCGACGTCGTCGGCGCCCTGTCTCCCCTTTGCTGCGGGTAAGTTACTGCCGCGCGACGCGCGGCAGAAACGTCGCTGGCGCCCGCTTTTGCCTCTCTCGTCTGAGGTTGTCAGCAGTGTTCGGACAGCGTTGGATTTGAGGGTCGGCGGTTTCCGAAACGCTTTCGGAGATTCTCAGAAGCGTTCGGAGGTACGTATTCCGCAGTTTTCGGCGTTGTCGGGGGGGGGGGGGGGGGGGCAGATTTCGAAAATATCCCCAAGGTTCTCAGCAGTTGTCTGATGTTTTCGACGGTTCTCGGGGGCGCCCGGCAGTTTGGAAATGTTTTCAAGCGTCTGCGCGCAGGTGTTCGGATGGCTACGTTGGGGGCGTTGATTAAGGAATGTGCTTAGGAGGCTTCAGAGCCTGGGGAATTTTTATCTGATAAGAGCGGCAGTGGTATCCATGGCCAATCCACGATAGCAGTTCCACTGGCGTCCAGACCCTGAATTCCTTACCCGATGGTTCCTTATCCAATGCCCTCACTGTATGGATCGTGGTTTTCGGACGTCCTCGGCGGCAGGACTCGAATGCTTCCCAGAAATCGGGGAACACCAACTCCCCACTGCGGCAGGTTCGCGCCGTCTCGGCACGGCGGCAGCACGGGCGCTGGCATTCCGGGTCGAAGCCTCCCGCCAGCCTAGGGACCCCGGCAGTGGAGATCGTTCAACATGAAGTAGTTCACGCGGTGACCGTAGTTGGTAAGGCTTCGGCTTGCGCACAGACGGTCCTCCCGGTTGTCCCAACTGGACTAAACAGGCCCCCCAAGCAGCCCCAGCTGACCTCAAAACGGGCTCCCCGAGTAGCCCATGGCAGTATCAACACCCCGTCGCCGCCTTCGGCGGCGCCCCTGGGGCGCCCCAGGGGTTGAGGTGTTGAGACCGCCCCAGAGTACTCGGGTGGCCTGTTTTGGGGCCAACTGAGACTACTCGGGGGGCCTGTTGGGGCCAGCTGGGGCTACCTGGGGGAGCTGTCTGCGCGAAATCCGAAGCCTTGCCAAGTCACGCGGTGACAGGAACCAGAGTCCACACTGTCATGGCAGGACGCTGCCATACACCGACACTGGCCGGGCCAATCTTGGATCCAGAGTGGGATTGGACTGACCAAGACAGGTGTTTGCGGATCCGCTGCGCCACGGGGAGCCGAGGGAGCCCATCCAACGTGGTGCAAAAAGCCGCAGCAGTACAGATGCTTGGCGTGGCGTCTACACTCACGAAGACCTTCCTCGTGCCTCGAGCCATCATTGCGCCTCCAGTTGCGCTGCCGCGCGGGTTCGCCACTGCGCTCGCGCGAGCGCCCCGGGGAGGAGGAAGGGAGGGGCTGGGGCCTTCTTTTTCGACGAGGATGTCCAGGCGCTGACCCAACTCTCTGTCATGTAGCGTATTTCAGCATGCAGCCGTCATCCTGATGACCTGGGCTCCGGGGAAGGACAGGAGCTTGGGGACGTCCGAGGAGGGATCTGTTGCCACGTGGCTTTCTACCCGAACTGATGTTGGCGCAACCTATTGTTTGGAAGGCGGCAAAGCACGGGGATCTGGTCGCGAAAGTGAATCCGTGTCCCGCTCGATTCATGGGGAGCTCCTTACAGACTCGAGGAGGGCGACAGGAGACAACGGCAATGGAACTCATCGGCGACACCATCTCAGCACTTCATGGATCAGCTCTGCATCGCAGGGGCGGTGGGGAAAGGGGGGCGCCGCCACCCTGCAGCACAGGGCCCGAGCCCGCGGCACGAGACCAGTGGGCGGGCGCCCCCCCGGCCCCGGCAGACAGAAAACAAGCTGAAGTCACCGAGAGACCGACCCGGGAGCGCTCCCCAGGCCTGCGCCCGTGAGAAAGAGCGGAGGTAAGCAGCGGCGGGGCGTAGCCAGTCCGTCCGAAGACAGCAAGCACAAAGAGCTCCGATGTGTCGCACCCGCCAGCAGCGCCCATGGCGCGCCCAAGCGGCGCGCGCGGTGGAGCAGCTGTCGCGGGCGTGCCAGGGAGCCCGAGGAGGCCGGCCCTGGACCAGAGACCCGCGGGCGGGTGGCGCTTCACAGGCACCCTCCGGCCACGAAGGAGAGGCTGGGGTACACCTGGACAGAGGCCAAAGCGTGGACCGGCAGCCCAGCGACAGTGCCGACCGCAGTCCCAGGTCCAAGGCATGCGACTGGACAGGGCAAGCGGGTGGACAGAGCTGACACCCGACTGGCGTGAGGGCAGCCACCAGACTTGCCGAGGGACCGACATAGAGGCGGTCCCAGGGCTTGCGCTGGCAACCGACAGCGGCACAAGAGGGCGAGCGCGCACACGCGCGCACACACTTTTTTGCGCCGGCGACTAGGCAGAAGGACTGCGCCGACGGATAGGGCGTCGCAGGATAAACGAACGCGAATTAGGCAGCGGCGGCGCCGTGGGTGGGGGCCAGCAGCAGCGGGGCGGCAGCTAGGAGGGGGGAAGCCAGCATGGCGGGCTGCCAAGCAGCAGGCTGAGCTGGGGGGGCAGGGCCCAGCAAGAGCTGGAGGCAAGGTGCGCACGCAGCCCCAAGGGCCGGCGGGTGCCGAGGTCGCGCGAGCCTCATGTGAGCACCTGGGCCGGCGGCGACCAGTAGGAGACCGCCTCAAGGCAGGGCGCAGGCGCCGCAGAACCAGCCCGGGCGCCAGGGCGGGGCGGAGGCGCGGCCGGAAGGCCGACGGCGGTCCCGAACTGACCAGGGGCCGCGAGGGAGAAACAACGAGCCTGTGCCCGCATAGAAGGCCATGGCGCCGAGGGGGGGCCGAGGTCACGCGCGACAAGCGAGGCGACCTGGGGCGGCGGCCGAGGCAAAGCACCTCCAGGGTTGAGGGCCGGCCTCGGCCAGGCAAGTCCGAGAGAAGCGAAGGGGGGTGGCACGGGCGCAACGGCCATCCCCAACGCAGGCGGAGACGGCGGAGGGCCGCCGAGGCCGGCTGGCCAAGGCGGCGGTGGGGGAGGCACCGAACAGGTGCACGACTAGGCAAAGAGACCCTCAGCGAGGGAGCCTGGGGCACGCCAGCGCTGGCCACCCAGCAGCAGAATCCGGCGTGGTCAGGCTGGGGCGAGACGACGCCCGTCGACCTCGAGCGAGGGCGGAGAGCGACGGACGGCGAGACGAGGCGGCTGCGCCCCAGTCGAAAGGATGGCGAGGCCCACGGCGTCCAGGATGGATAGCGGCGGGGCAGAGGGGAACGAGGGCGCACCCACCAGCGAGAGGGCGGTGCCAGCGAGGGACGCCCGTGGCGGAGGGGGCGGGGCGAGGGCGGCAAGGCCAGCCAAATGCCCGATGCCCCGACGGCCGGCGAGCCAGCTGGCAGGCCGGCCGGAAGCGGGAGCAGCGAAAGCTCGCAGCAGCGGAAGACTCACGCGCGCCCCCACCCTGGGAGGGCCGCATCCGCAGCCAGGACGGCGCGGCGGACGCGGAGCATCCACCAGGCGCGAGTAGGATTCCGGCGCCCAGGCCTCTCGGCGCTGGCGCGTGCCAGGCGCGGCGGTCGGGGGGAGAGGGCGGGCCCGCGGGCGGGGCCTCGCGGGGGGCGCACCGAATTGGAGCACCGAAGTGAGGCGAGCGGCCCGTCCGCGCGAGCAGCGGGCCGGGGGTGGGGCGGCGCGCGAGCGCAGGGAGCAGCAGCCCGGCCGGGACCAAGGCTCCTGCTGCAGGGAGGCGGGGGGGGCAGCGCCGTCGACGGGGCGCGGCTGGGAACGGGCAGCGTTGCTTGATAGCGACCGGAGGACCCCAGGCACCGCTTCCTGGAGTGGTCGTTGCTGGGCCAGGCGGAGTCGGCGCGCCTCTTGCCTTTTCTGCGTGGCACGGGATCTTTCCCCTTCTCCTTGCCAACCCTGGCGGCGCGGTCCATCCTTTGTATTCCTCTGTCCCAAGCGCGCAGCAGTTAATCTGGATGCCCATCGTCCAGCAGATGTTGCGGACGTCGAAGTCGGCCTCAATGAGCTGGCCTACGAAGTCCTCGCTGACCTGTTCCCCCTGGACAGCTTGGTCGCGGGTGGATCCGTGGCGCCCTGCTTGGCGGTCGCCGACTGCGTTCCAGCCGATGACTAGCATGGGACCGCATTCCCGCTTGAGGCGGTTGACCGCCACGGGCCAGGACTCCATCCTTCTGTCGTTGTAGCTCCACACTGGGTGCCAGTTGATAGCCTGTCGCGTCTCATTGTGCAGCGAGTAGTTTGGGTTGCCGTGGGGAGCATAGCGAACCGGCGGGTGGGCCGTTTGGTGGGAGCGGTCAGGCACGCGCGCGGGGCGGTCGCTTCCGCGGGAATCGCAGGCATCCGCGTGCCTCGGCGCGGGGGGGGGGGCGGTCGAGGCATGCTCGGCGGTCCGTTGGGTCTTCCAGGCAGCTCCGTCGGGGGGGTCATCTTGTGGGCCCGCCGTCGGACTGTTCTGCCTGCAGCGCTCCCCCTTCTCGGCTACTGCCCCGATGCTCCGCGCCTGCGCGGGGGGGCCGCGGGGGCCGGCCGATGTTGCCCCCCCCCCCTGGTGCGCTGAGCTTGCAGGCGCACGTGGGTCGGGAGACGGCCCCCAGTCGGGGGCGTCACTGCGCGGCGGGGGGGGGGCCAGGGAGGCGCCGGGAGACACGTCCACGGCGGCGCATCGGGGGGGCCCGTTCCCCGGCGCGCCCCAAGGGTCAGCGCGCAGGGGGCCAGCTCCGCTGGAG